ATCAGCTATACAGGCATTAATACTGAATGTTTTATATTCATTGCATACATATACTTCGTAGACATCCTTAATCTCTAATAACTCCATTCTGCTCTCTGTTGTCGGTGTTTCTTTGTCTGAATATGGCGCTTATCACATGCTGTGTGGTATCGGCTTTGGTATCGGGGCATTTTAACGAGTACGAGTACGAGTACAGGAGCTCAGTATCGGGCCCGATACCGATACCAGTATCACAACGCATGCGCACGCTTTCCCCTAAGCATAAACAACGCTGATTACATTCTTGGGTACTCTCCAGAATGGCAGAAGACATAACTTCTGAAGATGAACGAAGGTCTTACGGGTTTGGAACGACACGAGGGTGAGTAATTAATGACAGAATTTTCATTTTGGGGTGAACTATCCCTTTAAGAGACTCTGTGACAGGTAGGATGGCTAAACCCAAAAGGGATTCAATGATTCAGAATCAGATTTAATAATACATTCTGTTGTCAAATCTAAGCTGTGAGGCTGACAGACTGTGGCTAGTAGAAGTCGTGAAGGGCTGGCACTGTGAGTGTGTGATGTCCTGCAGAGAGAGCGAGGCGAGGCGAGACGTACCGCTCAGAGGAGTCCGGCCCAGCACCAGCACGTCAGGAAGTGACATCACCACCAGCTGCTGCAGCGTCTCCTGGAACACAGCAGCGGGTCAGGAGTGAGCAGCACACACCCTCAGGCCTCACCGTGATTCACTCACACACACACACACACACGCCTGCAGTCAGAAACCAGGCTCAATCCGGGACACTTCTGCTCTGCTCTACATCAGAGAACATGCTGTGATACTGATTCTGCCTCTCAGATCAAGACTGAGCATCAGCTGCACACACACATTTTATTCTTTTATTTGGATCCACAAGACAAGCAACGAAAACGGAATCCAAATACCTTGGGAAGTCAGTTTGCAAGATGACAGGTACACATGGCTAACATACACTTACTGTCTTTATGTATTGTTTTCAAGTCCTTTACAATCAGATCAACCAGGCGATCGTGTCTGGACACATACAGTCCTTTGTAACAACAACATCCATTTAAGATGTGGGCAACCGTTTCATTTTCCTGTTGATTTTGATGTAACAGACAGTAGGAGTTGTAATTTGACGGGTACCATATTGACAGATTGTACATAGTTGGAAGACATTGTAGTCGTGCTTTAATCATAAAAATTAGAATATCCTCTGAGATTGAAAAGTTTGTCAAAACAGAGTGGGATACTGGCCGATTGGAGAAGTGCTAATTTTCCCTGTAGTTTCAAGCCCATCCAGTGCTGGGCATTTTGGGTTTTTCTGAGGTGAAGAAGTGAGACTCTTACATTATTGGTCGATAGTTGACGAGGTGCACTTTCGGTGTTGAGAACCGCTAGAGCAGAGATACGCGGGTCTGTTATTATGTTCTCATTAAGAGCCGCTAGTGCTCCGTCAGGTCCCTGCCAAGAGAGCTGCAGTCCTGTACGCTGGCAAAGATCATTTAAATCCAGCCAATCAGAGCGTACTCCAAATCCGGCTGTTTTGATGTCCAATTTTCCATTCGGTTTTAATTTAAATCCAAGAAACTGGGGCTCGTTGAACGAAGCAGCTGGTATTTTGCGCTGCTGTAGATGTAGAAAAAGTGACTCACGTGCCAACTCTCTGACAGATGTATCGTCGTTATTCAGCATGTTAAGAAGATGACCTGTTCTGGAGGCAGTATAAATCCATTCAGTGTTTGGGACACCGAGACCTCCGTCCCGGCGCGACTGGAAAATAATATCTCGGGTTGTATGGCTATTGAGGCAGAGCCATTTTCTCACTAGCTCTGTAATCTGTTCCTCCCAGTCACCGCTAACGGTGAATTTATGCCCCAGATAAGGATAGGTTTCATGACGTTCATATAGACGGATTATGAGGTAACCTCATATAGAGGTTTATGTGCTAACGCAAAGACCGGGGGTTTGTCAGACTTTGATCTATACCATCTATTTCCTCCACTCCGTCTTTCATAAAACGCAGCACACTTTGTATGTTTCATATCCAAACCAGACAACACACTCACTCACAAACACACTCACAAACACACTCACTCACACACACACTCACTCACTCACTCACACACACACTCACACTCACACAC